ATTGCATGAACAATAATTTGTAATTGAATTTTCTTCCAAATAAATTGAAATCGAACTCTATTAGATGTTGAATTTGAGCGGGCAATTGTTTGTTTGGTATTGGTGCTTCAATTTGGTTCTTCATTGTTGAAATAGTTGAGGAGATGGAGTGGGTGTGTTATAACAATTTGAATACGAATTATGGCTGAAGTGTTGTTTGGTGTTTTATATCAATTTGAGTAGCAATTAGGGCTTTGGTGTTGTTTGGTGTTTTATATGAATTTGAATAGCAATTAGGACTGTAGTGTTGTTTGGTGTTTTATATCATTTTGAATGAGGTGGTATTATTGTTAAAATGGGTTGAGGTGTTGTTATTGTTGAATTGCATCATTGTTTATATCTGTTTCTTATGTTTGAAAATTGACTTTATTTATTTGTTTTTGATAGGGTACCGAACTAAGATGTAGGTGTGCCCCCTCATACTTCAAAGATGTGATGGATAAAATGGTTGTTGTGCTCTCGGACAAGCACAAAGAGGCTTTTGAAAAGAGTCCTTTTTATTTTTTTATGAATATGCCCGATTTAGCAGTTTTACGTAGTAGCGTTGAGGCTCTTGTTAGCACGTACATGGTAGATTTTAATGTGTTTATAGTTGGATATAACTTGGTTTTGAATTTTGACCCAACAGAGTTTTGCATAACAACGGGTCTGAGACAGGGCAGTCTGCGTATATTAGCTAATCAGTATCACTTGTAATGAACAAATAAAAATACCGAATTTCGGTCTAAAATGATGTTTACATGATAAATATTCACTCTCACACTAGTTTATATGAGATTTATAATGTTTTTAATTAAGTTTAATTACAAATTGGTCGCGAACTCGGAACACGAAGGAAAAACACTATTAACACTTTATCTCATTAAAATGGTACCAGTTTTGGGAACAATAGTACTGCTTCTTCTTCTACGCAGTACCTGATTTGATCATTTAGTACCTACTTTTAGCCAACCAAAATGAATTATTTCAATTTTGGTCAACATTTACAAAAAGAAGTACCAGACCTAGAGTATAGCAGTACCACTTTATGACGTGTTAGTACCAGATATCGTGTCTCTAGTTCCACTTGTAATGAACACATAAAAAGACCCAATTTCGATCGCAAATGATGTTTATACGGCCCATAATCACTCTCACATTAGTTTATATAAAATTTTAAATGTTTTTGATTGAGTTTAATCGCAAATTGGTCATGAACTCGATACACTAATGATAAAACACTACTATTAGACTTTATTTCATTGAATGACACACTTCATCTCATAGAATCATCATACATGACTACTATTGTTTTCACTTATATATTGTCACTTCTACTTTTTTTCATCCAAAACACGTGTGAACAATCCACGTGTCATGGTAGACATGAAGGATTAGAGAAATCACGATTTTGAAAAAATTGTACCGCATTTTCTTCTACGTGGTACCTGCTTTTGATCGATTAGTACCTACTTTTGTGAAGAAAAATTGATTATTACACTTGTGGTCAACATTTACAAAAAGTAGTACCAATCATAGTGTAAGACAGTACCACTTTTTGTTGTGTTAGAACCTGATATCGTGTCTCTAGTACCACTTGTAATGAACACATAAGAAGACCAAATTTTAGTCACAAATGATGTTTATACGACCCACAATCACTCTCACTATAGTTTATATAAGATTTTAAATGTCTTTTGATTGAGTTTAATCGCATATTGGTCATTAACTCAATACACTAATGAGAAAACAGTACTACTAGACTTCATTTCATTGAACGACATACTTCATCTCATAGAATCATCATACATGACTACTATTGTTTCTACTTATATGTTTCCACTTCTACTTTTTTCATCCAAATCACGTGTGAACGATCCACTTGTCATTGTAGA